TAAATGAATTTCAAATAAGGCTGCCAAAAAAACTGAAATAAAAAATCACTATAAATAAATATTAAATGCATCTTCAATTCCTTTGGAGATATACCATCACATTAATTCTCCTCTTTTGCGGTCCTTGTAGTTTGGAATAAACTTTTAATTTTTCATTTTTTTTTTCTCCATTGATATTTTACCAATTTAATTTAAAAAATATATATTTAATTAAAAAATATATATATATATATTTAAAATGAAAAGATAAATTGTGGGGTTCCCCAATTATGAGCCGTAAATTGATACTTTAAGGACCTCCAATTTGGTAGGCTCACCATTCACAAATGAAATATTTAGTCAATGGAAATGTAATTTTCCCTCCAAACAGTGCACGTGTATCATTTATACTTAGATGAGAAAAACTCTACTCCCATCTTTTACTTATAATAAACAACCACAAGTATAATATCCATCTACTACACGAGTGTTGATTTAATACGAAATATATGATAAAAGTTATTGGTAAAATAATTTTTGTATTTAAAAATTTTGATGGACTAATTGATAAAAAAAGAGTAATAGACAGTGCAGGAAATGATTTGTAAATCGTAATTTATGAGAGAAATATGAGAGAATATTATAATATGATAAGATTGCTACTTGCCCGAACTAAGAAGGAAATACGTAACAAGAGAAAAAATAACAAAATTAAATATACACTTATCAAGTTTGAAAAAAAAAATATTTATGTCTGATAACAAGTCTAAGTTATCTAGAGCAAAAATGAATATGTAAACAACATTGTGAAGGATGTGTTTTCGCTATGTCAGCATCCAAACGTGAGAATGTGCCCCTGAGGCTCAACATGTTTTGAGTTAAGATATAGAGAAGGATTATCATGCTTTCAAATTTATTTAATATTGTATCATTGAAAATAACATAAATTAAATATGATATTTTACGACATATTCTAAAAAACAAAAAACATGATATTTCCCAAAGTAAATATATATTTTTTGTTAAATAATATAAGGTGTTGACTTGTTAAGCACCATATGGTGGGATGGTACGAGGGCTTGTCATGAATCCCACCTTATGCTCAGGGGTTCAAGTTCTGGGGAAGGCAAAACCACAAAAAGTCCATACATGAGTTTTCACACGAGGAATGGAGCACTGTGGAAATCCATGAGTCCCCGGTGCATGGTCGTGGCCCACCGGAGGCCCCACACCCCCACAGAGGGAGAAGGCTGATGGGAACGACCATCAGCAATGTTAAAAAATAGAGAGATGCTACGGTTCTGTTACGGAACCATTTCATCGAAGTTTGTAACCGTTAGATTAACTATACCCGACATTTACGTGATGATCTAACGGTTACAAACCCCAACGAAATGATTCTGTAATGGGACCGTCCCTAAAAAATATATTGCTGGTGCAAAGTGGTATTTAAATTACTTACGTTACATGCCAAATTGTGACCATAAAAGAACTTCAACTAATAAAACTATGATCATATACCATTATATTATTGCTTGAACTAGAAAATGAACCTGTTATTCCGACAATTAAATGTGGCAATAAGAGAATTTTTCAATTGATTATATACATATAAAGTTCACATTCAATGATTTCAATTGAAATAAATGTAGCTCATCCCTTGTAGAAAAAGAAGGAAAAGAAATGAAGGCTTATGAAAAAGCAAGCAAAAAAAAAGTGAATAAAAAGGCATTAATAATAAATTAATAATAATTCATTAATAATAACAATTCCTTGTTGGGCTGGCAGTGGCCCATAAATGACAGTGATCCAGCAAATTTTCATGCAAAAAGACCCAACTACTAGTCTTAGTTTAGAAAGGCCCACCTCGTTTGGCATTTATTAGTCCTCTGGCCCACGACTTGTTTTCGTGTCAGAATCAATTTTTCACTGAAAGTTTGAAACTGACTTTGTGTTGGTGTAGAGTAGAGTGGACCAATTTTGTATTTACATCTTTTTTTCTTTTTTTTTTTAAATAAATAAATTTACATGTATTTAAGTTGACACATCTCGTTAAATTCTCTATCTAACATATTTAAAATAGTTACTTTGACCAATTTTTCTTATTAGAAAATAAATCAGATTAAATTGTCCAATTAATATGTGATCTTTATATAATAATGCGGAAATTGCTTTTACTATTGTTGATTTGATACAGTGACTTTTTTTGTCCTAAGAATTAAACAATTTTTCTATATGGTCCTATGATTTTAAATTTCAACATTTTTCAGTCATTTGGAGCTGAAAATGCAACAAAATTTAAAGTTAAATGATTTAAATTGATAATAAAAAAATCTTTTGGATAAATTTTTTATTAACAATTTAAGTACTATAATTTTAAATTTTGTTGCCATTCAGTCATTTGGGACAAAAAATGCAGCAAAATATTAAATTACAGGATTAAAAAACAAAAAGTTAAAATCTTAAGATTAAAAGCGCTACGGTGTTAAACCACCAGAACTAAAAATGTAATTTTGCCTACTAATGGCCCCATTTGGAAGATAACGGATTGAAGATAAATTAACAGATTGGATTTAATTGAGAGGTTTGACCCGTCAAATTCGCTATTAAGCTTGTTTGGTAATAACTTATTTGATAAGTTTTTTGGGCCCAAAATTCTAATTTAGAAAAAACTCATTAGAGCAGTTTTTTGGGATAGAGGAATCACAAAAATCATTTACTTAGATTTTTTTACTTTGTATTATTTATTTTACAATCTACATTGGTTTATGGTGCTAATAAATAATAATATGTCATCCATATGATTAATTTATCTAGAAAAATGTAAAATATACAACTTTCTTCATCAAGTGTTAGTAATTTTTTTTTAAAATAATATATTTATAAATTACCAACTAAAGAATATCAAATGTTTTAATATATTATTATTAAAAGAATACACCCTAAATAATAAATATCATTATTTGTCACTTTGCAATGTCAACAATTATAAGCTTTTAGTTATTTACTAAACACTTATTTAAAAACTGTTAATGCAATCTGCTATTCGTTATTCGGTGATACAATCCGCTATCTGCTATCTGCTATCAAATTATAGCCAAACCAAGGCCAATATATATTTCAAATGTGGGAGAAGGGTATTTTAGTAGTTTCTGCCTAAAATGTCTAATTATTGCCATGGTCCACTGCTCCCACCACATCCTCTCACTCTCAAAGAGAAGAAAAAAAATAAAAAATGACTGAAACCTTTTCTCCTCTCCCATGGCTTTAAATAAATTGAAAAAAAAAAATAAAATTAAAGGGGTGGTATCAAGTGGTAAGCAGCTTGATGACCCTTAAGCACGATCTTCAATTCGAGTTATTGTGAATACAGAAAACTCATGTTGGGAGTCACCAACCACTGACAGGTGTGCGATTCGGTTCGACCAACGGATTTGTCTAGGCATAGCTCCAGATACTGTGGTTGGTTACAAA